CCCCCCCCCACTGGGACTGGGGGTCGAACCTGGGTATTGAACCCAAGAACCTTTGATGCATCAGCCGGCACTCCAACCAGTGAGCCACACATGCCAGGGCTATAGTATATAGTTTTTGAGCCTGATTTCTTTTACTCAGCATAATGGCTTTGAAGTTCATCCATGTTGCTTTTTATTGCTAAGCAGTATTCCACTATATAGATGTACTGTCCATTTCCCTATTGAAGAACGTGGATTGTTTCCAGTTTTGATGATTATGAATAAAGCTGTTATAAACATTTTTTTACAGGCTTTTGTGTGGACAAAGTTTTATTTCTCTAGAGCAAATTCTTCACAGGGTTGCTGGATTATGTGGTGTGCACTTAATTATGTAAGAAACTGACAGACTGTTTTGTAGAGTAGCTGTACCATTTTGCTTTCCTACCAGCAATATATGAGAGTTCTATTTGCTTGTTTTCTTACCAGCATTTAGTGTAATTGGATTTTTGTTTACTTAGGTTTTTTAAAGCCATTCTAACAGATATGTAGTGGTATTTCATTTTAGTTTTATTTTGCATTTCCCTAATGGCTAATAATATTGAATTATATACATATTTCCATCTATATATCTTTTTTGGTGAATTGTTCAGATCTTTCCCCATATTATGTTAGATTGTCTGTTTTATTATCATCATCGAATTTTGACAGCTCTTTATATGTTCTGGATATAAAACCTTGACTTGCAAATGTTTTCTCCTAGTTTATAGCTTGACTTTTCATTCATTTAACAGTGTCTTTCACAGAGCAAAAGAACTTTTTGTAAGTCCATTTTATCAACTTTTCTTTTATGGATTTTGCTTTTGGTGACCTAAGAGCTCTTTTTGCCTAATCAGAGGTCATGAAGATTTTCTCCTGTGTTTTCTTATGAAAGTTTTATCGTATTTATACTTTACATTTAGGTATGTGATCTGAGTTAATATTGTATAAGGTGTGAAGGTTAGTTCAGGTTTTTTGTTTTATTTTTACATATAGATACCTGATTGTTCCAACATAGTTGAAAAGTCTGCCCTTACTACATTGAATTAATTGCCTCTATTTTGGCCATATTAGTGTAGGCCTATTTCTGGACTCTGTTCTGTTCCATTGTTTTATGTGCCCATTTCTTCACCAATACTACACTGTAGCTTTATAGTAAGTCTGAAAATTGGATAGTATGAGTCTTCCAACTGTGTTTTTTCTTTCTGTTTTAGTTTCTTTTATTTTCATATAAATTTTAGAATAATCTTGTCTATCTATGAGAAACCCTGCTGGAATTTTATTGGAACTGCATTCAAACAGTAGGTCAGTTTGGGGAGAATTTACATCTTAACTGCATTGAGTGTGATAATCCACAGACATGATGTGCCTCTTTATTTATTTAGGTCTTTGATTTCTTTCATCAGCATTTTATAGTTTTCAGCATAAAGATTCTTTACATGCTTTGTTAGAGTTATAGCTAAGTATTTCTTTTTTGGTGCTATTGTGAGTGGTATTTAAAAAAAAATTTGTTTCTAATTTTTTTAATGCTAGTTTATAGAAATATGATTGACTTTTATATGTTAACCTTCTATTCTGTGACTTACTAACTCACTTATTACTTTTAGGACCTTTTTTTGGTAGATTTCTTGGGATTTCCTAGATAGATAATTCACATTATCTGTGAATAGAGACAGTGTTATTTCTTCCTCTCCAACCTGTTTTTTTCCTTCCCTTTTTTCTTGCTTTATTGCACTATCTGGGACTTCCTGTACCATGCTGATTAGGAGTGGTGAGAGAACACAGTACTCTTAAGTACTGTGTTAACTATGGGGTTTTGTAAATGCCCTTTATCAGGTTGATGAAATTCTCTTCTCTTTTTTTTTAAAGTATGTCTTTATTGATTTCAGAGAGTAGAGGGAGAGGGAGAAAGAGAATGTCAGTGATGAGAGAGTCATTGATTGGCTGCTTCTTGTATGCCCCCTACCTGGGATCGAGCCTGAAACCTGGATATGTGGCTTGACTGGGAATCAAACTGCTATCTCATGGATCATAGGTTGATACTATGCTTGGATCACAGGTCAATGCTATGCGATGCCAGCTGGGCCAAATTCTCTTCTCTTAATATTTTACTGAAAGTTGTTGAATCATGAATGGTGTTGAATTTTGTCATGTTTTTTTCTGTGTCATTTTATATAACCATGTGATTTTCCTTTTTTGTCTGTTAATATAACATTGATTTTTCAATATTGAATAAGCTTACATTCTCATGGTAAGACTCATTTGGTTGTGGTATATTATTATTTTTATATTGCTGGATTTGTTTTCCTAAGCATTATTATTTCTAGACTAATGTTGCATATTGGTCTATAGTTTTCTTATAATGCCTTTGTCTGGTTTTGGTATCAGTATGATGTTGGCTCCATAAAATGAGTTGGAAAGTTT